ACATAGCTAATCCAGAAAAGGGATGATACCATTAAAAGAGTTAAGCCCTATGCCACAGGTGCCAGCAAGTTTCAGGCTTGTTGGTTTGGGGAGGGTAGGTCCTTCCTGATCTCCAGCCACAGTTTTGTCATTGTCATTATCTAGCAAACATACCATCTCCAGATGACCTGATGCCCCCAAAGAGGCCAACACACACACACACACACACACACACACACACACACACACACACACAAAAAAAGAGAAAGAGAGAGAGAGAGAGAGAGAGAGAGAGAGAGAGAACGAAAGACATTCTCAACTGGAGATGGGTTTTTGCCTCTCCATCTCAGGGCTAGCTGTCAACGTCCAAAGACTGTCATCGGTCATGGCCAGGGCCAGTGTTACTGGACAGCTGAACACCCTGCTGTGCACAGGGTGCACTCATGCTCCATCTCCAGCAGAGACCATCCCCTCAACATGTGAACAGTGCCAGGGTTGGGGGCCTGCTCCAGACAGACAGCCTTCCTTCTGCACAGGTGCTAGGACAACACATGGATGCATCTGTGCTCTCAGCAGCTCAGCTACTGGCCGGACCACACAGACTTCGGGAAAGCAGGTGGCAACGTCTGGTGCCCAGCATCCCGGGCCCAGCACACCACTCAGACAATGGGGCGGGAAAGAGCCAGACAGTGGTCCTGTATAACTCCTCCAGCTGATGGACTGCAGTTGGGGGTGGGGGGCGAACCCCATCCTGGGAAGCCCTGTTTTGCATTGCAGGAAGATTTTAGTGACTTGGCTGCTCAGGTTACCATTGGGATATCACTTTCCTGGTCACCCACCTCCAATTTCCTGTTCTGCTTATCTCATGGAGTTTGCACTGCCCCATATGGCCTGGCTTCAAGCTGATTAGGTATGGGACTCGCCTGTAATGGATTAGAACGTGGGATTTATTTGCTTTGTAATATTTTAAGAAAGCAACAGGAGGAGCTGCGGTGGTGGGAGATACTGTATATTTACAGTCCGACTCCGTTTTCATTACCGGAAAAGACAACTTATTTAGGAATGTGGGTCTTGGTCACTTTTTGCTTTGTGTTTCACCCCCAGGCTTTCCTGAATTACAAATCCCCTATGATTGGTGGGACTTAAGAGGCACGCTTGTACATTTGTTTTCCTCTTAGTGTCTTTCCTTTTTTGACTCTCTCTCCCCCTTGGAATTTTTTTTCTCCCTCCCTTTGTTGACAGGCTCTCCAGCAGGCCAGTCTGTGTGTGATTTCCCCTGCCTGGTTAGAAAGGATTATTCAGATGAGACCTGTGAAGGCAGGGGCCTGGCGCCCCAGTCGTTAGACACCAGGGCTGCCATCTGGAAATGTTAATTCCAGCTCTTATTTTGGTAAATATCTCTTGTCTTCACCATTTCCAACTGCTATGCATGGCCACGTCCCGCTGTTTATGAGATGCTGGGCAGCACACACCATGCCACAGAGGTTGGACAGGCAGTTTGCTGCATGTGCTGGGTCTGTGGCCTGAAATCTTTGGACCAGGGAGAAGATGGCCAGTTAGAGGGGACCAGAATGAGCGCTTAGATTCCTGGGCCCTACAGGCCCCCAGCTGGAGGTTCTCAATGATGTCAGCCGTGAGAAACCTTTGCAGTCATTGGTAGCAAAGGCGCATAGGATACCCAGGGTTACTGCAGTCATTGGATATTTCCAAAGAACCGACAGAGGGGATCTGAACGTCCGATACTAACAGCAATCACTATCTGAGGCGATAAACATGTGGACACGTTCAGCACCACCTGATCAGTGCCACCCTCTTGCATGTACTGAATTGTCACATTGGACGCCATGTGTGCTAGAAAATAGTGTGTGTCCATTAAAAATGGAAACCAAAGATGCTGGAAAGCAAATCAATTAAAGCACTTAAAAACTGAAAAGGAAGATGGTGTAGCCCAGGCTGAGAACCTGGGATGGGGACTAGGGAGGACTTGTCCCATGACCCCACTCCCTTTGACAGAACCAAGCCAGTGGGAGTTGGTGGGCAGTTTGCCGTCTGAGACCAGCTTGCCACGTAGACCCTTCTCCTATGATATGTCCTTCTGTCATGAATGTGTTGAGAGGCTTTTGTTTGTTTTTATTTTGTTTTGATTTCCAAGACAGAATTTCTCTGTGTAGCCCTGGCTGTCCTGGAACTCACTGTGTAGACCAGGCTGGCCTCGAACTCACAGAGATCCTCCTGCCTCTGCCTCCCAAGTGCTGGGATTAAAGGCATGTGCCATCATGCCCAGTTTGTGTTGAGAGTTTTGTTTTTTAAATATAATTCTTTATTGATTCCTTGGGGATTTCACATAATACACCCCAGTCCCCCTCACACCCTAGTCTTTCCCTATCTGCCCCTAACCCCTGCAGCAGACCCCCCAAAAAAAACCCAAAATTAATTTAAAACAAAACAAAACTTACCTTGCTCCTCCGTCTTTCCCACCTCTGCAACACGGGAGCTTTGGTGTGTCAGGCAGTGTGCCCCTTTTGGCCAATCAGCCACCTGCAAAATGTTCATTGCAACAAGTCATTGGTCTGGTTCAAGGCCTCTGGCCTCTGGCACATTGTCATCACTGATGCCCTTTGTGCTGAGTGCAAACATTTCTATTCTCACCCTCTGCAACAAACCACACTGTGCCAGGTTGCACTGGTGCCACCTGGAGCCCAGGGGAGCACTCTGACTTGCCTATCAGCATCTGGCCCTTTAGTGGGCCCCGCTTTCTGCCTGTTGCCAACTCTCTTGTCACAAGGCCCTGCTCTCTGCATCTCTTAGCCCCTCTTTCCTTATAAAGCTTTCAGTCACACTGGCTTAGACACCATCCCCCTGGAGTGTGACCTCATTCTGAAAAATGTCATAGCCATTTTCCCTCCAAATATGGTCATTTTCCCACTGGGGACTCAAACCTCAGCATTTCTGCTTGAGGGACACATGCTCACAGCAAGCGTGCTGAGCAAGGTCGGGAAGTCACCTTCAGAGGCTCTGGCACAGCGGCTCAGAGCCCAAGCAGAGACACTTGACTGGGTCACACAGCAAATCAGCGTGGGAGTGGCCAAGCTCGGTCCTCACTCAGACCCATGTGCAGTGGCACCAGAGACCCCATGTCTGCTGTTGGGACCCTGGCAGTGGCAGTGATGTCCCCTGCTGTCCGTGACGCTCTGAGGACATTCTTGGATACCAGTGTGGCCACAGTCCTCTAGCCACTCCTGCCCCAGAGCCCCTGACCACTTCCCATGTCAGATAATGGTCCCTCTGGCCACAGACCAGTGAAGGACGGCCAGGATCACCCCCTCCTCCACACCCGCTCTCCATACTTCTGTCACCTTCCAGATCCCTGTCTTCAGCTGTAGCCATAGGGAACTCTGCCCAAGTTTCCCAGACAGTTAGCAACACACACTTCCCACTGCGCTGTTCAGGGGTGTGGGTGAATGCACAGAGCAGACTGGCCATGGAGAAGACACATTCATCCCTCATCTGTCCCCACCCAGGGCCACCACTGGCAGGAACTCATGCGCCCTCTGGTGGACACTTTATATCCCCATCACAATGGAGGGTGCAGGCAAACTCCGGAGAACCAGTTCCCCAAAGATGCAACAAAGATGCTGAACCAACCCAAAGCAGAGCTTCCGGGTCAAAGGTGAGAAAGCAGAGAGGTTGCGGCCTATGGTCACAGAGCCACAGGGCAGAGCAGGGATTAGAGCCTGCAGGATGGCAGGGGACCAAGGACGTTCACTGCCCGAGCTCTCCAGCCTTTAATTGGAAAAAATCTTGGAATGGGAGGAATTTTACTCTTTCTGGCTCCCGTGTGTGGTTGGAAATAGGCTATATGCCGTCTTGGGGGTAAGGGGAACCACGATACGTAATTAATTCATTACTAATTAATTAATTAACTTTGAGACAGTCTTATGATATAGCTCTGACTGTCCTGGAACCATGTAGACCATGCTGGCCTTGAACTCAGAAATCCACCTGCTTCTGCCTCCCCAGTGTTGGGGTTAAAGGCGTGCACCACCACCATCCGGTCAGGAAACTATAATATTTTAATCACCTTCAGAAAGACTTGTTTTAGTGAGCCATTTATCTCCTAAAACATTATCTTTTTCTTTCCTTCTCTCCCCTTCTCTCCCTGTCCTCCTCTCTCTCTCTGTTAAAGACTAAACCCAGGGCTTCACCACAAAAAGCAAGCTCTCTCCCTGCTTATGTCTTACAAGGCTGGAAGCTTGTTAAGAAATTTAAAATTAATATTCTGGGGGAAGGAGAGGGCAAGACCACTCTCTCAGAGAATACTCTCCAGAGACAGTGTTGCAGCCTCTGGCACCATCTCTTAGGACCGCACGAGGACACCACTGCTTCCAGAGATGACACAGTTCATCAGCCACAGAATCAAAGTCTCAGATTGCTTAAACCAGTAGAGTCTCTTTCTCTGAAACTCTAGGACTTGCACACACCTTGAAGACCTGGTCTCTTGGGGAGTGTATTAGTCAGGGGCTGGCCACTCACTGGTATCTTGGGGCGGGTATCTCTAGACCTAGACCTGAAGATGTTGGGATCCATGTAGGTGTGCAGAACAAAGCTTGTTTATGGAGTAAGTGGTACCTTACAACATCCCAAGAGCCTTGGAGGCTCCTGCAAATACACCAAATGTATATGACACTGTTAGGTCCACAATGAAACAGACCAAGTCTCACAAAGCCAACCTACTGGAAGCTCACTGAGACTCGGCTGCGGATTTGGCTCTGAACTTCCCAACAGTCACTGAGCCCCAAATGTTCATCATTAGAAAGACTAGAGTTTACAGTCTCCTGTAGGGAGACACCATAACCACGCCTTAGGTTCTTAAGGGTTTGCAAAGGCACATGAGGCCCTTCTCTCTGGCCTGGCTGCCTTGCTGCCCCTGGCACGCTCTGGCTTGCGTTTGGCTGGTGTTTATCTGAATAAAGATATCTTAACCTTACAGACCACAGATCGTTGGTTCTCGTAATACCTGGTGCCCAATGTGGGGTTCAAACCCATAACCCTGAGATTAAGAGTCTCATGCTCTACCGACTGAGCTATCCGGGCCAGCGAGAAGGGCTGCCAGATGGCAGGGAAGTTTGTAAGTATGCCCCCCCCACACACACCTCGTGGAACAATCCTCATTTAGAGATACAGTAACACAAAACATCTTGAATGTTTGATGCTTTAGCTCCTCGCCACCCAGCAATGTACATTGCCGTTTCTATGAAACTTGCCCCACGGCAGGCACACAGCTAGCCTGTGTTGGGAAGCCAAGCTCAGGGTGGAGGAAATGCAACCCACATGTTGGATGGTGTGCTTCACTGACTTCCAGAAACACCACAGGTAGCAAATGTTTTCTTACTGCACACAGCTCGCTCTTCTCAACCCCCTGGTCACTGCGAAAACAAAGGGCGTGCAGCTGTGGGATTGCAGACGATGCCCGGGCTTGCTCCAGGAGCCCACTGCCTCCACAGTGACAACACAGAAAAATGTATCTCAATCTGCTGTGACATCTGCAAAACGCCCACCTTCCCCTCAAGCACAGAAAAGCTAAATGGCCACCCCCCCACACACACACACTGCGTCTCTAGAGGATGGATGGAGTGGCAGCAGCCAGAAGAGAGCTGTGACTTAAGGTGTGGTGTGCTTGGGGTCACCTGGCACCATGCTGCTACCCCAGTCCCTGGAGCGTGTCCACCGAGATGAAATTCAGGCCACGGGTGGGGAACGCTCATTCAGCTGTTATTTCTTCTGTACAAAACAATAGGTTACTGTTTAGCACTGAGGCAGGAGTTGGATGGACCAGCAATTGGGGTCAGTCTCTCCTTGCTGGGGTACGAGGTGTGGTGTGCGGGAAAGCCAGGCCCCTAGAGAGGAGAAGGTGTGGCTGAATCCTCTCCGCCATCCCGTTCTTCTCCTTTCTCTGGACTTGCCACAGAAGCAGGATTGGGTGGGTGGGGCTGGGAAAGAGCGCACAGCTTTGCAGAAGAAACCCCTGTGGCACTGGGGTCAACTGATAAAGTAGCAAGTCTAAAGGATTTACAGTATTGACATTTTTCATTTTGAATATATGGGTGTTTTACCTATATCCACGCTGAGCACCATGTGTACATAGTGACCGTGAAGGCCAAAGGGATTGGAGTCACAGATGGCCGTGAGCTGTCATGTGGGTGCCGGGAGTCAAACACAGGTCCTCTGGAAGACCAGACAGTGCTCTTATCTGCGGAGCCATCTCTCCAGTCCTGAAATGTACTTTCAATCTAATCATTTTGGACTTAACTTATACTACTAAGAAACTGTCCTGTTGTCCAGAAACAGTAATAAAAGTCACATGCAAAGTCTACATGTGGTCCAAGTGCCGTGTGTGTGTGTGTGTGTGTGTGTGTGTGTGTGTGTGTGTGGTGGTGGTGGTGGTTGGGAGTTAGTTAGATACTCTTATTTCTGGAAGAATTCTTAGCTGATGTTGGCATCACTGCTGGGACAAATAGCCCCAAGTTATCAGTGACAGACATCTATTTCTCAATGTCAGTTTTAGCCATATAAAGTATATATGGATGTTACTGAATATTGAGACATATGAAATGCGTTTGCACCAGGTGGAAATGCCTCAGAGACATGGGGACACAGAAACGCGTCAAAGCAAGGAAGAAGCCCCAGAAAGACTCTGATGTCATCTGTCCCCTGCATTCCCCAAGTTCTTGAGTAGAAGCAGTCTTTGGGTACCTTACCTGGGCTCAGCATCACAACCCTAAACAGCCACTGAAGGGGCTGGAAGCGTTCTCTCCAGGAGCCACTGAGGTCTGTGGGACGCTCAACCCTCCGGAGACTTGGGAAGAAGATGGCAGACCCAAATTACTTGAAGGAACAGAAGAATTACGCTGTCTCTCCCTGTCCAAGAGGCAGGACTAGAACTACTCTCCTTCTCTCTGAAGCAGAGTCCAGTGTAGCCCAGGTTGGCCTTAAACTCTAGTGTAGCCAAAGACAACCTTGAACTTCTGCCCCTCCTGCCTCTCTGAGTGCTGGCGTTGCAGGTGTTTGCCACCTCATCGGGATTGTAAAGTGTTGGGGATTAAACCAAGACGTCACACACTCTGGGCAAGTGCTCCACCAGCTGAAAGCAGGTCCCTATCCTTCCCTCCTGCTCTCTCTCCCTCCTCCCTCCCTGCATCCCCTCCTTCCCTTCTTTCTTCTACTCCCCCCTGTTGGAAGTGGATGTCAGCGCCTTGCTCATTCTAGTCAGGTGCTCGACCTCAGAATATGTCCTAGCCCAGAGATCCATTTTGCTTATACCCAGAGAACAGCTCTTCTATCTGCCCTCCCTGGCACAGACTCTGCCCACGGAGCCTGTGCTGTGACCTGAGGGCCACAATGGTAGGACTGAGGCTCTGGGAGACTGGGTGGATGTCCCCCAGCCTCTTTTCAACCTGGCACTTAGATACATAGGTACCAGGAGACAGGAAGGGAACAGCCTTCCCAGACCCAGTTTTTGGTGTGTGTGTGTGTGTGTTTTAAATCCACCTTCCGTCTGGTCAGAGAACTCTGATAAAGGGAGACTTCCATGTAGCTCAGCTTTATTTTCAGCCATTTGACTGGGTCGTACTTTTTAAAGGGTTTGTGGAAATAAAAAAATCATATAAAGCTTATTTTAATTTCACATATGTTACAAATAAAAGGAATCCTTGTGGAAAAAAATACCCCAGTGGCCTGGCTTCTGAAGCCTTTTCCAGGGCAGGTCCACAGCTCCAACAGACAGAGGCCACCTAGGCTCCTCACAATGGGCTGCAAGTGCAGAGGTGTGTGTCTGTGACACCGAAACCCAGGCTTTTGTTTTGTAAGACTTTTTTATTGTTGAGGCAAGAGCTGTAGTATTTGTTGTTTCTTATTAAAAAGAAAAAGACCATTCCACTAGAAAGGCCAAAAAAAAAAATTCCAGATACCCCATGATTCATCCACCAATGGCTTTAAGAAGATCTGTTCCAAGACATTTATTACATTTTTGGCTAAATTTGAAAAGAAATGAAAGTGGAAAAAAATAGTCAAAATTAATGATGGCCCTACATAGTCATGCGAATGTCCTAAAAGGGAAAGCTGCGTCCCCTGCCTAAGCTGTGAAGAATTTATAGGCAGGCGCTATTTTAAAGCATTCCTTACAGCAACATCAAACTCAAGTTTCATGCCTCCAGGGCCAAATTAGAGGGCATTTGATTAGTGGTATGAGGCTGCTGTTTCCCAAAGGTGACCCTGAGGGTATCAGGGGCTGCCCGTCCAGTAGGGACTAAGGGAGAAAGAGAGAGAGAGAGAGAGAGAGAGAGAGAGAGAGAGAGAGAGAGAGAGAGGTTGAATCTTCTTCCCTGAGTTGGAGAGCCATACACCCCAGTAGTATAGTAAAATCTCTGATCTTGAAGACATATTAGAAGGTGTGTTGGAAGACATCCTGGGGCGCTTAGGATTAGGATGAGAACCAAAACTGATAGCTAAGGGATACGGTGCAGACACTTGTTCTGCAAGTTCTTGTAGCCGTCAGGCAAGTCACACCTCCGCTCTGTGCTTCAGTCTCCCCAGGGATAGTACAAGGTTGGGATGCCCTACCTATAGTCACGAGGGCTGGTATCATGATTATTCATGCCCCCAATTACATTTCTGTGAGGCAGACTACATGTAACATGAGTATGTTGGGCGTAGTCCACAGACATGACCAAGTTCTAACCAAGGAACATTCCCATCACTGTTCTCCAGGACACGGTCGCCTTGTACGTGTGAATCATATGGGAAGGTGTGAGAAACACAGCAGCAGCCCTGTAACACAGTGAGAAAGTCACACTGGCCTCTGTGGCCACAGAGAACATGGGGCTCTCTGCTACTTTAGTCCCCCTCACACATCCAGCGACTCAGACCCTCCCTGTTCTGGTGTCTCAGCACTCTGAGATACTTCTGGCCCTGCCCTGAATGGCCCTATCTGGTCCTCCTGTCTTAGGCAGCCTCCTTCTTGCTCATGAGAGATTTCCTGACTTTCTTCATCAAAATCTCCAGAGCAAAGGACTTTTACTCCATACAAGTGTGTGTGTGTGTGTGTGTGTGTGTGTGTGTGTGTGTGAAGGCTTGGGTTATCTGTGAAGTTCATAGCTGCTTCAGCCCAGAGTCTAGTGGTCTGGAGGCCTGAGAGGACCCATAAGAAAGAACTGATTTAGAGATAGGCTCCAGTAGACATGGCAGTATGCTTTTGGGTTCCATCATACTGTGGTGTTCTGGAACTCTCCAGGATGGAGATGGTGGGAGCCAACACTGATGCTTCAAGGATTCTTAGGTGTGGGATGTCCTGAAGAGGCAGAGGTAGACACAGGTAAGCATGAATGCCCTGTGACTTATGTAGGGCATTTACCCTCAGTAAGACCAACCCAGGATAGCATGCATAGGGACACTGGTCTTTTACAAACTTCTTGGCAAGTCAGACTGCAGCTATGACCCAGCTACTCAAGAGACTGAGACAAAAGGAAGGACCTCCTGAGCCTAGGAATCCCAGGCCATCCTGAGCAACACAGAGATCCTGTGTCCTAAAATAAAACCAGTGTTAAGCCTGCATGTAAGCCTGTGATGAGGAAGCACTTCGAGAAGATTCGTGAACTTGCAATGCTTGTTTCTGCCATCATAATGTTGGAGACAAGGATGAGACACTTGCAGGGTATTGCCATGGAAGCCATCTTCTGGCTACCGCCATGCCCGGAGGGTAAGTTATTATCTGTCTAATGATATAAAGTCACTTGCCATGCATGCCAAACCTTTAGGCATGACAACATGAATATTGTCACCCATAGTTTATGCTTGAGATATGCACCATCAAGCTACACAATGAAAATCACACAGAGATCCCATGTTTTAAGTATGTTAAGAGTTTCATGTGGGCATCATCCATAGTTAGCTTGGGCGTTGGGTTGGACACGCTTGAAATGGTAAGAATAAGTCACGGAGGGCTCGAGGTGTTTTAAGCCTTCATGCACTCATGTGTCTGCACATCTGATAACAGACAGCCACTACTTTAAGAAACATATAGCAAAGATAGTCCCATT